AAGCAACCCTGGTGAGAGGGGGAGAGACGAGTTGCGATGGCTATGCTCACGGATCCGTCAATGAGGTCACGACACTAGTTTCCTCGTAAGGCGTGGCGATCTGTACAAGAGGGGGGGGTGTGAGACACCGAGTCGGTATCGCGCTATGACATGTGGCTCACGGATATGAGCGTCAGAGTGAGATGTAGCACGTTGCAGACCACCACCACTCTGGGAGCCTGGTTGAGTCTCGACTGTGTGTGGCTGCGTCGACGACGGAACTCACAGAAAATAGATCGTCCCTAATAGACAAATCCCATACGGAGTTCAGCATCACATATTGATACAGTGAGACAATGGGATGATGACTGACCGTTGTAGATGAGGACGTTTGACAAGGTCGGGACGGAGGTTCGTAGCACCGCGCTACTCACCCCTCGAGTTTTCCTCCATGAGGCCCATGTCACGACGACAGCCAGCATATCCGCGATGATCAGACATCCACGCGATAGGATGACACCTGTGGAGGATCGGAGTCATGAACCAATCTCGCAGACATATGGATTAACTGTACTGCTAAATATATCAAATGAGTGGCGAACGAGGTACCCATTCTGACCATGCACTTACATTAGGCCCTGGTTGAACGATACATTTTCGATACCTTCGCACCCGAGAATAGGATCATTCCCTCCAGAAATCCTCTGTAGAGCTAATGGCCACTGTGATATCACAGATCAGCTACTAGTCTTTGTACACGGGCGAAACGATGCTACGCACAGTGTTGACAGCAAACGGCGCAAGTGCTAGAATGAATACCACGGCCGACAACGGCCGATTCATCCCGCTCAATGCTAGTACGCGCAGACCAGAGAAAGCTGGCAAAACTCTTCTGAGTTGATACTAGTAGAAAGGTAGCGCTGATTAGAAACCTACCGGCCCAAAAAACGTACTGGAAAGAATTCGATGCATACTGGGCTTTCACAACCGCTGCACAGCTGATACCTCGTCAACGTCTTCCATAGCACTACGAAAGAAAGGCATACGTCTTTTCGACGCAGATCAGATCAGTAGTCACAAAGCGCGGGAAGGGTTTCATGACGTACTTGGTCGGACATGCGCGCAAAGGTGGCGGTAAGGAGGAAGTTGTTGCTCAATAGCGCGGTGTACCGCGTCCCCAGGAAGAGAATGGTAGCACCCGTGATTTTAGGCTTCCAGAACAAAGCCACTTCCTGATCGAAAGTGATCACATATTCGTACCCAAGCAGGGCTTGTCACAGCGCTGCCAGTTAGCGAGAGCAATAGTGTTGTGCTGGATAACCCACTCACCTACGGCGCCAATCTGGAGCCAGTACCCGTGTGTCCTAGGCGATGACAGGGAGACAATAATTAGCTATTGAACGTGTGTTCGAAGTGTTTAGAAGGGACTTACGTTGAAGCATACGAGGAGATGATCTGGGCTACGGTTTCTGGATCAAGTGAGCCAGACATCCCGGACCCAGGTCAACGATAGTGGGAACGGGGGCGACACGACGAACAACCAAGAAGGGGATTATATGGCGAGCAGAGAGCCATATCGGCACCGTCTTGCCGTACTGAATTCGAAGACGCAAGCCATAACTTTAGCGCCATATCCGTGTTCTTCGGAGATTCATGTGTGATGGTACTGCCAGCCGTTCTCCACGGCGTCTTCCTTCCATGCGCGCTTTGAGTACTCTCGGAAGAGATCGACGTTTATCCTGTTGGATTCTCAGTGATTCTCAGTGAGGAGAATGATGGTTCAAGGGACGGCAGGGGAGGCGGGGCGAAAATGGAGGTCTCCGGGACGCTGGACTTCGGCGGTTGTAAACTTTGTTCAACCGGCGATTCTCAGGAACTTACCGACCGTCCAGTAACGCCGCACCGTATTTTCGAGGTGCGTAAGCCCCCGCCTCATGTCGCGCTTACATAGTTGCAAGGCGCGCTCATAGATATGGCAGATGTTGAGTCAGAGCTAGACGATTTGTGATGCGGGCGACTCGGATGATAACCTTGGCATGCTCAGTCAGAAGCCTGCCACTTAATGACGACTCACAAGGGATAGGTCGTTGCTGTACAGGGAACATGGCTGGAAACACACACAAGACTAGCCATATTTGCTCGGTACTCACACGACTGTGATAGAACGTTAAGACGAGCCGCTCATACAACTTAACTATGGGTTTCTCGGCACGAAGTCGACCCGTTTGAGATCTTCTCACAATCCTCCCTCAGAAGACTAGCACAGGCTGTTAGTCTTGTCGGTAGAAGAACTGACACTGAAAACTGCTCACCGCGAAGGCTGTAATCCGGCCCAAATTTCTTCGATCTCAGGGAGACCTGGCAGCGGATTTGGCCAATCGACGGACAGACAAACCGCAGAGTGTTTGTTTCAGTGCTCGCAGCGACGGTGAACTCTTCGTTCGGGTCCTGTAGGAGCAATAGTAGCAGTCAAACAGGGCTCTCCGGTCATTGAAAGCGGTCCGGACGTACGTCGACTTCGAGAATCAAGATGTGCGCCGCATCACCGAGGAGACATCCGGTTTGATCGGTTGCCTGGCAAGTCCTGTTGAGAAAGCGCGTTGTGCGTCGTGAGTTCGGGAATGCGCAGACTAGACCAAATACGAGGGCTTACATGGTCGATCCCGGTGTGCAGCTCTTCAGAATGAACCAGACGTCGGAGGTGCTATTGAACGGCCCGATGGAGTTGCACCCAGAGTCGGCTGAGAGAGCTAACTCGCTATGCACAACAGACTTGGACTCAGCGGGCCATGGGGATGAAGTAGCGACGCGGACCCAGGTGAAGGCGACGAGAGTGAGGACGGTAGAAATATGCATCACGTGTTGACGAATTTGTTGATACGAGTGTAGATACGTCGGAAAGCTGAGAATACGTTGGTTGACACCGCCCTCTTATATAGTTCGCCATCTGCTCCAGGCTCGCCCTTCACCGCAGAGTCTGGAGTTCAGCGATTCAGAGGAGGGCTAGTCGAATCACCAGTGCCGATGCAGGGGTCATGTCATTCAAGGTACGCATCCACAATTTCCGTGCCGTGGTGTCGTTTCTAATTCCATCACGAGTAGTCTTGACGGCGGCGCACGAGCGGTAGTATGTGACAGCAAACTGTTCCACCCTGTGGAGAGTACCTTGAAGTACTCACAAGGTGCCGAGCAGGCAGGTATCTTCATACCAAAACAACGTTCGCCATCAGGTTCTCGACTGTTGCTAAAGTCGTGCCGTTCTCCTGTAGCATCGTCGTCGTCGGAGGGTGTCGTCCTCCGGCTGCCTCTCCACTCGGCTGCCGGTGTTCGATACGGCAAGTACTGGAAATTCTATGTAGAAAGTGTGGCATGTTAAGTATAACCGCTACACCAAATCATGACGATGCAATTGAAACCTCACCTTCTGTATCACCCCTTTGGCAAGAGGGTCCGAGTCTCGAGGTCAGAACCTTGAGTCGCGCTATTCCGGGCTGTGGTTTCAATTACGGCCCTATGTTATGAAGAGTCCGTTGGACCGCGATGGTGGGGGTACACTTATAGCTGGAACGATTTGTAAAGCTTCGGCTGTCAGTTTGACTCTTCAGAGGAAGCTAAGGCTCACGTAGGCTCGTAAACCAACCTCTAGTTCAGCGGGCGGAAGACAGTCGTTCCTGCTGAATAGAGGCTGGAACGTCCAATGACGGGGGGTGGTAATGACCCCCGTGGGAATGTCGGAGTTGGGAGATGCCGTCGGCACGAATGCCCTGCTCTCTTTCCGTCCGCGTTTGGATTATCGCGTCGCGCGTATGTCAGTGCGGGAAGCATTTCTCGTCCTTCCAACCATTCAAAATTTCCTTCCAACGTCCAGTAAGGATTGAAACGACATCACAAGGTTACCCAAGTTCTCATGCAGGCCCTGTTCTCAGCTCAGAAGTGATCGTATGTCCATATTTACCAAGCATGTAACTCGTAGTGTAGAGCACATGCAAAGTGACAAGTCTGGAAGCTATGATGTTTCAGAATTTTCTAGTCAAACATGTAGTGAGCGTCGACGAAAGATCCAGGTCGGAAGCTCGGAGCGCCAGATCTGAGAAGTCTCCAGCTTAGTCGCAGTCCCAGTGAAGGCACCAGACGACATGAGGTGCGTGCGCACATGTACGCAAGGGCATGTGCACCTCCCGCAAAGACACTGGGGGCTTTATTGTTGGTTAGATACACTTCATCGACGAGAAACTAGCGGATCGAGGGTGGAGTCTAACTCGGAACACTAACAATTGCTCAACACTAATCTAGTACTTACCTAGTAGCTTTGAGTGCTACCTGCGTGCGATAGCCTCATCTTCCAGCTTCTGAGCAGCCAGCATTGTGTCCGCCGTGACTGTAGTCTTACCGAGCCCAAAAGAAATGACGAGGAAGATATCTTTACCATGGATTCGGAGGTTCAGGCCGTGCAGAACTTGAAGATCGCGGGCCTCTGCGATGCGGGAGTTAGAAGAGACTCGAGTACCGAGGACGAAAGCGAGTCGTGGGTTAATGCAAGCATGATACTAGGAGACAGGGCGGAGGCCGTATACGTAGATATTAAGATAGTTGTCGAAGAGTTGTGGACTTGAAGTTGTCGCGCCCACAAAGTCCGCCACGTGCACCATGCCGGGCTCACGTGAGTTCGGCCATGTCAGAATATTCGTGTTCCGACGTTCCCACGGGGGTCACCCGCACCCCCCTCTCATTGGAGATTCTAGACTAAGGCTCACGATACATTGCGGTGAAGCATTGCCCTAAGCGTCGTCATCATGTCGACTGTTACTTTAGCATGATCACTATGACATTGCCAGTATGCATCGCTGCCATGTTCTTGGTTCCTCTGAGGACTAGCCGCGGTCAACATAGCAGACAGATTCAATGCCGCGGGTGTGTGGCAAGGTTGAAACGTTGAACGTCGGCAGCAGGCAAGCGCAGTGGTTGCGAACTCAATGCGCGCCGGGATCCTTTCTTAAAATGTTTATGAGCCTCAAAATGAATCTCTGTTAGTATATCGGTTAGTACACGCGCCTGTCATGTTTTCACGACGTCCGCGCGAAAGCGGGGTTCGACTCCCCGACAGAGAGTTTTTGCCACTCGAACCCCTTCTAACGTGATTCAGATGTGGAGTATGCAACGTTTGTAAGTACTACGTAGCGTTCTGCCCACACCAACAAGTAACAAGTCCTTGCCGGAGATACGCGCACAACATCACGCTTATTCCTTGACAAGAGGTACTGATGGTTTGTGATATGCGTACAACTATATACTTGCAAAAGATTCCGTAACATGACATGCCCACGCATGTCTCCCAAGAACGATCATATCTACCACCGCGAATACCGCCATAACAGCCAGAGACAGAGCGAGCCTCACCCCCGCGCCCCCTTCCGGCCCCTCCCCCTCCTGCCCTTCCCAGCCCCGCGCCGCCCCGACCCACCCGCAGGAGGGCCAGCGTCCGGCAGCTGCGGTAGCGTCATCTCCTCCACGTCCATGCTCAGCCCTACACCCGCACCCGGGGCAGCGGCGTCCCACATCTCCTGCCTTGCGCGCTTCTCCGCAGACTCGCCGAAGAGGTGTTTCAGGCGCTCGCGCATGCCGTCCTGCTTCGGGTCCGCGTACAGGACGTGCGTGCCCCCCGCGACCTCCGCCGCGATGAAGCTGTTGTCCGCCTCGTCGCCCGACGCGGTCGAGCGCGGAAGCGCACCTGGGGCGAGTGGGACGAGGAGTGGGGCGCCGGCGGCGGCTGCAGCTTCTATGGCGGCGTCGATGCGGAGGGGTGTCGTGGCTCCTCCTGGTGGGTGCGCTCCGGGGCCTGGGCTGAGTATGGGCGACGAGCGGCCGGGGGTGACAGACTCCGACAGCGACATGTTTGACTGCAATACACGAATATGTTAGTAGCTACTCGCACAGCGCAGATTGATGATAGCGACATACCCTCGAGCGGTTCAACGGCCGACTGCGTCTCCCCTGCAGCGCATTGGCCCCCTTCACTCTCTTCGCAGCCTCGACCTCGCGCTCCACAGGGACGATCGCCGCCGCAGGGCGTTTCCCGAGGAGCGTCGTGATGCTGTCCTGCAACACCCGTGTCGCCTGCTTGTGCACATGCGCCGGCGTTCGAGGTGTGCGTGTTCCCGGGATGCGCATCGGGGACGGGGACTCGGACGACGGCACGCGGCCGTTCCGTCCCAACGAGAGCGAGGGTGTGGACACTGAAGGTGCGGAGCTTGCGTCAGGTGCGAGGGAGGGCTGGGTGCGCTGAGGGGCTTCTGGCTCGGCCTCGGCAGGTGGAGTGGGTGTCTTGCTGGCGGGAGGTGTAGGTGCCGCACTAGCAGGCCTTGAGATATCCGGGGGCTTATCCGCTGCAGGCTCTCCGAGGAGCATTGCGGGAATGCCGAACGGCTCAACCTCTTCGGCGTCAGGCTGCGCGGGGTCTGCTGGGGGTGGGTCGTAGTACGACAACGATTGCGCTCTTGGCGCGTGGTCTGTCATGCGAATAATCAGTAATATGAGGACAAGGCCGTCAAAGGAAAGACGCACCGTTGGTAATATCGACCATGCTGGGCTCCCTGCTCGCCTTCTCCTTGCCTTTCCCCTTCCTGTCGATACTACCATTACCACTCCTTGCAGACGGCGGCTGCTGCGTCGGCAACAACACCTCCGGCTCGCCCTGATAGTCCACCGCATTGAGGTCCACGTCCTCGCCCTCTCCCGCCACAGACGCAGGGGCGGGTGTAGGTGCTGTATACGGGATTTCGCCCGTACGCGCCATCGCCCCAAGCCACGCCATATCCACGACAGGCGTGCCCCACTCCCGCGCCTTGTCCGCCTTCGCGCCTTCCCCAGAGGGACAGAGCAAGTGCGTCGTGCGCCGCGAGAAGTTGGGCGCATGCACGATCCCTGCGACCCACCGTCAAGTCAACACACGCATGCAACATATGGAGACATGAAGACGTACCAAGACCTCGCAACAGTCTGCGCACCCAGCACGCTTCGCTCTGGTCCAGCCCAGAGTAGCTGATGACCATGTCCTCCGTGCCGGGGATGGGCGCTTCCGCCTGAAGCGGCGTGAACGCAAGATGCTCTTCCGGCGCGCAGATGCGCTCCTCGAAGATGCACCGCTCAAGCCAGCACTCCGTGCGATACTTTATGCGCATATGCTCGTCGCCTTCGCGTCGGTATATTGCACTCCCGCTGTAGAGGTCACAAAGTGTCCCGTCAGTTACACGGACGCAATAAGGTGCGAAAATGAAACGTACCTGACGAGCCGCACGACGATGAAGTCCACCTCGTCGTCGTCATCGTTCGCGCCGACCCACACCCCACCACAGTCCTCGATCGCCTTCCGCACACTCGCACACCGCGCCTCGCCCAGCGCGCGGATCCGCTTACCCTTGAACAGCTCCCGCGCGCCCTCCGAGACCACCCCGCTCGCGTCTCCCACCTCGATCCCGTTGTCCCCCTCATAGCCCGGGACGACGCTTCCCGCCCTGCTCGGCCCAGCGACCGCAGACCCAGACACAGTAGGCCAATCCGCCGATATGCCCCAGCCAGCCTGCGCGCCGCCCGCATCCCGACCTGGCGGCGCAAAGGACGCAGCGCGTGCGATGCCCCCATTGCCATTACCGGCCAGCGCGGACCCTCCGACGGTCGGCATCCGCCTGAACGGCTGGCGCGACAAGGGCGTGGACTGCGCGACGGGCGCGAACGAGCGTGCGCGCGTGAATGACGATATCGCGCTTGCGGGCGTGTGCGGGTCGCCGTCGCCCTCCTTGAGCGAGCCTCGTCGTAGCGCGCGGGCGGATGGGGACGGTTCGCGGCGGTACGACGTGTCTTTCGGTCTCTGGGACTGGGACTTTGACGGGCTCCGGATGAGGCGGCCTTGCTGCACTTCGAACCCGCGCGGCTTGAGGATGCTCTCCCAGAGGTGGAGCGTCACGGCGGGGACGCGCTTGACGGAGGCGATCTCTTCCTCGTCGTCCCCTGGACGCGACACGGACGTACCTGCGGCAGAGGCTAGTGCGTTTTGGATCTCGGAGGAAACGCCCGGGTCGTCTGTGACTGTGGAAGAGCCGGCGGCGGGAGCTGAGCGACCACAATGTCAGAGCTTTCTCGGACATGCGAAGTAGGGCATTACGCACGATCCGGCAGAACCCTAGGTGGTGGACGTGGATTTGAAACTTTATACGCATCCTCGTTGAACCGCCCTGCATCATACTTTAGTCCGGCGTTCCCTAGCACATCGACAACACTTACCACCAAACCGTAGTGAGTCCCAGAACCAGTCCTCCCAAACGATGTGTATCCGCGCCTCGCCCATGCGGTTGAACTTGTCTGCATACCGCACCTTCTCAGACTCACCCTCGCTCGTGTTCGCACATAGTAGGTGCGTCACGCGCACCGGACGCTCGATCTGTTTGACATATATCCCGCCACCTTTCGTGACCTTGCGGTTAATATCCATGCGGACATTTACGTCTTCGATACCGGACAGGCACAGGACAACTCCTGTGAAAGGTGGGAGGCGATATTCATCGATGCTCTGAAAGTACATGACGACCATGGCTTAGCATGAGAGCTGTAACGAGCGCAAGGAAAAACAAACCTCTGCGACGTTGACGTCGTCTCCTTTCAGCCATATTTTATGGCTTTCGATAATCCAAGACGGGTGCATGATCGGTATGCCATTCTCCAGGGCACACTATAGGGCTGTTCAGTACAAGACATATTTAAATTAAATGGTCATACGTACTCGGTACTTCGCGCTCCCAGACTCCTCGGCAATAAGGTGTGTGACTCTGTCCGTGAGATCGCTCACGGACTGCGCGCCGAGTTCGAGCGCAAGCTTAAATAACGAAGTCTATTGGGGAGTTAGGAGTCAGAAACTGGGTGCAGATCTTTGGAAGGGGAGAGCGGTTCACAACGAGACAACAGGAATGAGATTTTCGACAGTTCATGATGGCCTGCCTGAGGAAGTTCTACCAAGCATACGAGATCGGCATAAAGGCCGCAGGACTATCTCTCGTCTTATGCGTCTTGCATACTGTGCGGGTAGGTGGTGGACTTCGCCTACGGGTCAATGAACTAATCGTTCCAGCACATCGCGCGGCGGGTGTGCCCGATGATAATTGATATCTTGCTCAAGCGTTTTCATGATCCCAAAGACATTTCCACACAAGACTACCTCTCCAGTGCCGCATAGGGTACAGAAAGTGAACGACCTGCTCACCTTGTCGCTGATTCCAGTCGCACACAGCACCAAGCCCTTAAAAGGCCGCGGGCACAGGTCAGCATGTGTAGTTTCCTCGTCCGAGTCAAGGCCCGAGCTGTGTGTCCATGTGGAGTCCGGCGTGCGTAAATCCTTGCGGGCAGAGGGGTCGGCGGGCCTGAGCTTCACGCCCGGTACCTTCGCGACAATTTGAACAACCACACAAATTGACAATGCACAGGAGCGTACCTTCTTTGACCTGTTCACTCTCCTGTGGTTCATATCTTTGACCTGTGTGGTCGATAGGGATAATACACGTTATAGTGGAATTCGTTAGGGTCGTTATAAGAGTGTGACTTGTTGTAGATTCTCCAGTTGTGATCCAACAATGCACGTTATCCAGAGTCTTCCTCAACCAGTTAAGAGTGCAACTGAAGACTAAGAACGCGATATAACGCGAAGAAGGGGTAGAGGGAGGACCGTGGCCACAAGAAGTCGCGAACGCGCTCAACATTACACTGTGCTCACGCGCCGTTGACGCTTCAGGGCAGGCTCCGTCGCGCTGATCACGTGCAGGCGGAAACTTGTGGCTCGCTGTCGCCCACAGCGACAAGCACTCGTCCGCCGTCGTCCACGCCGTCCGCGATGTCAGCCCTACTATCTCTGCGCTCCTGTGCGCAGCTGCATGCTCGCACCTTTGCTACCGCGGCGCCCTCATCATCCGCCGCGGCTTCCGAGCCTCTCACCCACTTCCGTATCACCCTCCGTCGGTCGGCCATTTCCCTGCCCAAGAACGTCAAGGGCACTCTCGAGGCGCTTGGTATCCACCGGCGACTGCAAACAGTCTACCACAGACACTGTCCAGACATTGCCGGGAAA